CACATAAGGAGCTCTGCTGGTGCAGTGGTTAAAGCATTCAGCTGCTAACCAAAAGGTCAGCATTTGGAACCCACTAGCTGTTCCTCATAAGAAAGATGATGCAGTTTGCTTCCATAAAAATGTACAGTATTGGAAACCCTATGGGGCAGGAAGATAGAATAGGAAACCCTGCTCTATCCTACAGAGTCTCTAAGAGTCAGAATTAGCTTGATGGCACTGTTTATTATTATTGTTGTTGTTGTTGTTGTTGTTATTATTGTTTTGGTTTGACTACAAACATACACAGAAAGATTGATGCAGGTTAAGAACAGAGGGGGAGCCATTTATTGGAAAATCATCTAAGGAGTCTGAGTAAAGTTCTGGCTTTACAGCCCATAGCCCTAAGCCTGTCCATAGAATGTGCTTTCCCAGTCCTGGATGTGCTCATTATGATCACATCTTCTGATCTCAGAGCTGCTGTGATGAATGGAAAGCACCTGACAGAATTTTGACTACTTTGAATTACTTTCAATAATCATATTCTCAATTAAATACAATCAACTGATGTGTATAAATACAATTAAAGAAATGATTAGCCCAAATATGCTTTTCTATGTATTATACAACTAAAAATACCAATCTTTAAAATGAAGTTAATTTCATATATTAGAAGAAAAAAAAAAGAACAAAATTTTATAGAGGTGATAGTATATCCAAAGGCCACAACTTTTAAGATATAAAATTAATTGCAATATTGTAGTATAATTACATATGATATTCATATGCCAGCCTAATTAAGGGTAAGCTGCATAGAAAATACAAAAACAAATGTGGAAACTTCCATTTTTACTGTTCTGCTAAGCACAGAAAATTAGGTTTATCTAGCAACATAGAATGGTGATATTGAACCATTATTTCAAGGGACTCAATACAAAGTACATTTTGCATCACTACCCAATACTCTATTTTACAGATATATACATATACACACATATATACATGTAACAAACCAAATTTCATATTCTCATGTGTTCTACTGTATTCAATTAATTCTATCTAATTACAAAAAATGATAATTAACACTTAGTTAATTATGGGACACTTTAATGGATTGTGATGGACAGTTTGAAAAACACTAGTTTAGAAAACGTATACATGTATGCTCTGTGCTACACCTAAAAAGACAATACCATGTGTTAATGAAACAAAGATCTCAGTGACAGTCCCAAATTGTCTTGATTGATACCATGATGAGATTTGTCTACATTAATTGAAAACAACAAATATATAGCCTTTTTTTTTTTGCTCTGGATTCTGTAAATACAGAAATCTTACATCTAAATTCTATTCTGGGAATATGTATCATTTTTCACACTCAATGTATTGAAATTAATTTCATTTATTTTGCTTTCAGGACTCAGGAAACGATACATTAGGATATTTAGTTATTATTACTTTGATGAAGTTGAAACTGTAAAAATATTCAGCAGTCATTTGCATATTTGCACTATTGTCATAGAGCCTTGGTGGTGCAGTGGTTAAAGCACTTGTCTACTAAACAAAGGTCAGCAGTTTGAAACCACCAGCAACTCTGCAGGAGAAAGATGTGGTAGTCTGCTTTCATAAAGATTTACAGCTTTGGAAACCCTATATGGCAGTTCTATTATTTCCTATAGGGTCTCAGCGAGTCTGAATCAACTCAGTCAATGGCAATGGATGTGGTTCTGATTGAATTAACCTTCAAGTAACGCTGTGAAAGCAGTTAAGGACACCTGGCCATCCTGTGGGAAGGGCATCAGCTTCATAGCCTCTGCTATTGCAGGAGGTACTTAATTAACTTTCATTTATTTTGAGATCAATTTCTGTGAGCTGCGATGTAAAGACCAAAAGTTGAGCTGGCAATTAGAAGAACTCATGGAAGACTATGAAACTTTTGCCCCTGGCCTCAGCAGCTGTATCTGTAAAATGAGGAGACTGGATCGGCTTCTCTCTAAGGCTTTGCTCATCTCTAACATCTCTACTCCTAGGCATCTATGAATATGAATCTTACTGCTTGTCACATTTATTAAATTAGCTATTCAATGTTTCTTTTCCTTTTTAAATGCAATTCATTGACAATACATTCTATATTCCGCAAGCAGCACATGAGTGTTCCAAAATGTAATATATTAAATTGACAACCTATTATTGTCTTGAAGTAACATCTCTGTGCCCCCTGCTACGTAATTAGCTTTAATCTATGATAACTGCCTGCTGTTAATAAGATTGAGTATGTCTACTGAATTCTCTTTTTGGTGTTCACAGCTTATAATCATACCTAATATGCAACTAATGATACCTAATTATAAGCTGTGAACCCAGTAGGTGCTCAGCTGCCTAAGAGATCACAGACTACTATCAGTCTCCAACTAATTAATTTTCTCTGTGACACTGGTCAAATCATTTAAATTTTCTGAGCTTTAATTTCCTCTTTTGTGAAATATGTGGGTTCAGCTGGAATAGTGATTTTCAAAATGTGTTCAAACTACTGGGCTAAGAGTCCTCGGAATCTATAAAAATTTTGATGTTTATATGTGCCAACAAAACTTAAAAAGAAATCATAAAAACATTCTTAAGATATGTAAAACAGTAAAATGTAATGATATAAAATATCTTCATATAGCCAGAGACAAAAAATGAATTTTATTTTCTAACAGATAATGCTTAAAGAATTATCAAATCATCAGTCCATCACCTTACTGGGAATAGCAAACAAACTAAGGAAATGAACCTCACTGCAATGTTGTGAGTTGCATGGTGTGGCTTTTCTAGCCAAAGTCTTTGTAACTCCCACCAGATTACTGGGTGGGACCATGCAAATATGCATCAACTTGGCTGGGCAGCTGGTAGTAGTTATTTCCTATCATGAGAATGGCAATTAACTCCATGGTGGAGTTTGCCATGAGCAACTACATAGCTGCTTTTAAACTCCTGATTGTTAAAGTCATCCACCTGGGGTATTTCTGTTGGAGCAGCATGAAGTAATCTTCTGGGAAAGTTCACTCTCTCTCAGGTGTGTAGAACTCTGATGTTGGGATTGGTTAATTTTGCCACTCTGCCAGGCTTAAAATGACCCCTCCTAGAGGCAGAGGAGCTCTGGTGGCATAGTGCCTAAGGCATTTGACTGCTAACCAGAAGGCTGGTGGTTCAAACCAACCAGCCACTCCTTGGAAGGAAGATTGGAAAATCTACTTCTGTAGAGATACCACCTCAGAAACCTAAGGAGGGATCTCTGTGACTCGGAACCAACCCGACAGCAGTGAGTTTGTTTGGTGTTAGAGGCAGAAAGGGACTCTCACCGCTGGCTGAGAGGGAAGTCTGGCTGACAGAAACGCCCGGCTGAGAGAGATGCCTAGCTGAGGGACAGCAGCAGTGGAACCAAGAGGAATGGGACAGAGTGGCAGGCTTACCTGATCCACAGAGGCAGAGGCCAGGTTGAGAAGCCAAAGGCCAGAGAGGTCTATTTAAGGGCACAGCAGAGAAGAGACTGTCCTGATCGAAGAACTGTATCTTGAGCACATTCCTGAACTTGAATTGTAGCCTATTGCTTTCCTAATAATCCCCATAATCTGTGAGTTCTGTGTGGCCACCGCAGCTAATTATCAAACCCTGTAGATAGGTGGTGGGTGCTGCAGGAAGGATGGTTGGTGTGAAGGCTGGTAAGAGGGCAGGAGGGTGGCAACATGTCTGGCCTTGTAGGAACAGGCCTTGGGCTGTTGATGGTGATTCTGTCTTCCTCTTGTGTAGTTAGAGGAGGTCAAAAGATGCCACCTCCTTGCCTCTTTAGCACTCACTTAATTTCCACTGACTACCAAAAAAACACACTCATCCAAACTAAAGAGAAAAATATTGCTCATGATGAGTCTAATTAAGGGGGCAGATATTTTTTGTATTTTTAATTAACTCTTATTCATAAATTTTAATCATTTCCAGTAACAAAAGAATTAACATCATACTACAAAAACAAAACAAAATAAATAACACAAGGACTACTAACCCTGTACCAACCCCCATATCTCTAATCACTCCCATTATCTGCTTTATTTGAGTCTAAGTGAAGTTGGATTTCTTTCAGCTGCCTCTCTTTCTTGCTAATAACCAAACTAAAAAGACCCAGGGCTTTGAATCAGTTCTTCCTAGTTCAGTCACGGTCAACAAAGTGAAACCAGAATAGACTTAAATTTTTAAAATATGGTTGTACTGGAATGATAACAAGAATGAGAAAAATTGTCGGTAGATGTCCTGCTTGAAACTTAATTTCCCTCTTAGAAAACAAGGGAAGCATGCATGTTGCAAAGCAGCCAAATCTCTGAACAAGTAGAGTCAGAAACAATGTTGCCCAGCTCAAAGAGGGTGGCTTTGAATGTGTTTCACTCTCCACAGTCCTGGCATTAATGCATACTCCCGAATCAGGCTCCTGAAAGGGCTCACTACACCTCTTTCTACTTTCCCATTCCAGGACTGCAACCCACAATTTTCCCTGTTCTGGTTATCATTCTGGTACACCCACATTTCACAAATTTGAATCTTCTCCTATTTCACTGGGTGAGCCATGAATGAATTGGTTTGAACTGGTTTGAAGCTCTGCAAAAAAAGCAACCCTTGCCATTGAATTGATTCCAACTCATGGTGACACCAAGTGTTACAGAGTAGAACTGAGCTCCACAGAGTTTCCATGACTATAATCTTTACAGAAGCAGACCACTAGGTCTTTCTTCCATGGCACCACTGGGTTCATTCAGCATACCAATCTTTTGCTTAGTAGTTGAGTACAAACTGTTTGCACCACCCAGGAACCCTATAGCTGTTAACAAATAACAGCAAAGTTTCTAGGGACATATAAAATGGAATGATTTTTCAAGATATTCAATTTACCAGTAGAATGATTATAAATTATTCCTAGTCACACTGTGATTAGTTAAGGAAAAACAAAACAAAATAAAATAAAAAAATAAAAAAAACAAATAACATCCTTTTCTTACCCAGGAGTTTTTCTGACAGCTTTGGGTTTTACATTAATAAGTTCATCCACACCTTGTTCACTACTAAAATAAAATAAAATAAAATGTCAAATTTGTTGAAAATCAGCAAACTTCATGACTGTCTTCTATTTCTTTAAAAAAAAAAAAACTTATGAATCATTAACAAAGTAACATTTACTGACTTCCTACTTTATGCACATTAGTCATCCTTTTAAATATACCTAACAACCTGATGCTCTGGTAGCATAGTGCCTAAGGCACTTGACTGCTAACCAGAAGGCTGGAGGTTCAAACCCACCAGCCACTCCTCGGAATGAAGGTTGGGCAATCCTACTTCCATAGTGATACTGCCTCGGAAACCCAAGGAGGGGTCTCTATGAGACAGGGCTGACTCAACAATAACAACCTGGTGAGGTAGATATTACCATGTTCCCTCTATGAATAAAGCAATTGAGTTTCAGAGAGGATAAGACAGCCTGGGGCCACATACCTAACAAGTGCCTTAGAGTGAACCTAGATGGAAACCACAACCAAACCAAAGCCCCATAATCCTTCTTCACACAACACCCTTGCTCTCTCCCAGGTTCACAATAAACCCTTATATCTGCACAATGCTTTTTACCAACATTTTCTTCAAAATAATTCCATGAGAGAGGTAGCATGCAGCTATTTTGGAGTTTCTCTGCCACACTTTTCTTAAGTGTTGATTCAGTGCATAATGGGTCTTAACATGTCAAGAAAAGAAAAGTAAATTCAATGTCATACAAAACATTTTAATCAAGCGTAAGCAGGATACCTGTCACCAATTTTTTTCAGAAGTACTGTAGTTTTACACAAATTACGTGTGCCTTCTATCTTTGTCTGCCAACTGCTCCCTCTTCCTGTGACATATTTTCTTAAGCACCACTATGCCGTTTTTTGGGGTTTTTTTTTTTTTACACTTTGCTGTAAAAAAAATTAGCATAGCATGTTTACAAAAAAGACCTTAGGGAGAGGGAGTGAGCAGCTGGCAACAAACATAGAAGGTGCGTGTTATTTGCATAAAAATACTGTAGTTAAAATTGACCCTTGGTTTCATGGGAGTAGAAAGCCTTTTATCCCTTTATTTAGAAGTCTTTATCCTTTTATTGTTTAGTTTCATGAGCTTTTAATTTATTAACATTAAATTTATAGTTATAATCTAGTTATGTTATCTTTGTGTTGAAATTAAATCTCTCAAGTAGTAATTATATAGAATTACCTTCAGTTTTATAATTTTAAACAATATTATAATGAAATAAATGAAAACTTTAATAAAAGAAAACCTATCCAGTATTACTGTTGTTTTTTTGTTAGGTGCTATTGATTCAGTTTCAGCTCATAACAACCCTATATACAACAGAATGAAACACTGCTTGGCCCCGCACTACACTCATAATCATTGCTATGTATGAGCCCATTGTTGCAGCCACTGTGTCAATCCAATTATTCTTTGGACTTCCTTATTCATTACCCAACTTTCACATGCAACTGAAAATACTATGCCTTGCTAAGGTGTACCTCAGTCTTCAAAAATTTAATACTATTGTTGTTGTGTTGTTAGGTGTCATCAAATCAGCTCTGATTCATACCAACCCCATGTAGAACAAAACAAAATACTTGCTGGTCCTGCACCATCCTTACAGTATTTGTTATGTTTGATTCCTTTGTTGGAGCCACTGAGTAAATCCATCATGTTGAGAGTCTTCCCCTTTTTCCGCCAGTCCCCTACTTTACCAAGCATGATATCCTTTTCCAGGGACTGATCACTTCTGAAAACATAACCAAAGTACCTGAGATGAATGAAGTCCGGTCATTCTCACATCTAAGGAGCATTCCAGCTGTACTTCTTCCAACACAGATTTGTTCGTCTTCTGGCAGTGCAAGGTATTTCCAGTATTCTTCACCACTACCACAATTCAAATGCACCAATTCTTCTTCTGTCTTCCTTATTTACTGTCCTGCTTTCACATGCATATGAGGCAATTGAAAATGCCATGCCTTGGGTTAGGTGCCTTAGTGATACTTTTGCTCTTTAACACTTTAAAGAGATCTTTTGCAGAAGATTTGCCAAATGCTGTGGTTGTTGCTGTTATGTGCCAGTGGAGTCAGCCAGACTCATAGTGACCCCTTCTTGGGTTTCCGAGGCAGTATCACTACAGAAGTGGGATTGCCCAACCTTCCTTCCGAGGAGTGGCTGGTGGGTTTGAACTGCCAGGCCTCTGGTTAGCAGTCAAGTGCCTTAGAAACTATGCTATATTCATTTCTTGACTGCTGTTTCCACTGGCCTTGATTGTGGATCCAAGTAAAATGAAATCTCTAACAGCTTCAATCTTTTCTCCGTTTATCATGATGTTGCTAATTGGTCCAATTATGAGGATTTTTGTTTTATTTATGTTGAAGTGTAATCTATGCTAAAGGCTGTAGTCTTTGATTTTTGTCAGTAAATGCTTGAGGTAATCTTCACTTTCTACAAGCAAGGTTGTGTCATCTGCATATCACAGGTTGTTAATGGATCTTCCTCAATCCTGATTCTGCATTCTTCTTGTAGTGCAGCTTCCCAGAATAATTGCTTAACATACAGATTCAATAAATATGGTAAAAGGACTCAACTCTGACACACAACTTTCCTGATTTTAAACAATTCAGTACCTCTTTGTTCTATTTGAAAGACTGCCTATTGGTCTATGCACAGGTTCCTCATGGCACAGGTAAGTATTCTAGAATCACCATTCTTTGCAATGTTACCAATAATTTGTTATGATTCATACAGGCAAATGCCTTTACATAGTCAGAACAACACAGGTAAACATCTTTCTGATATTCTTTTTTTTCATTCAAGACCCATCTGACATCAGCAATGATATCCCTCGTTCTATGGCGTATTCTGAATCTGACTTGAATGTCTCACAGTTCCCTGTCAGTATACTAACCATTTTTTGCATCATCTTCAGTAAAATTTTACTTGTCATATTAATGATATTGTTCAATAATTTCCACATTCTGTTGGATCACCTTTCTTTGGAATTGGCACAAATATGGATCTCTTTCATTAGGTTGTCCAGATAGCTGTCTTCCTAACTTCTTGGCATAAATGAGTGCATACCTCCTGTGTGGCATCCGTTTGTTGATCAATCTCTGGAGCCCAGTTTTTTTTAAGACCATTGGTTCTTGATCATAGACTACCTCCTGAAATGACTGAATTTCTACCAATTCTTTTAGGAACAGTGACCCTGTGCATTCCTTCCATCTTCTTGTGATGCTTCCTGGATCATTCAATATTTTCCCCCATAGAATCCTTCAAAATTGCAACTGGAGGCTTCAATTTTGTCTTCAGTTCTTTCAGCTTGAGAAATGCTATGTTCTTCCTTTTTGGTTTTCTAACTCTTTGCATATTTCATTCAATACTTTACTTTGTCTTTTCAAGCTGCCCTTTGAAATCTTCTGTTCAGCTGTTTTATTTGATCATTTCTTCCATTTAGTTTAGATACTCTCTACACAAGAGCAAGTTTCAGAGTCGGTCTTCTTCTTTTCTTCCTTTCATTTTTAATAATCTTTTGCTTTCTTAATATATGATGTCATCCACATCAAATCATCTTTTTCTCTCTCTCTGTCTTTTGTTGTTGTTGTGTTGTTAGTATCTTTTTTTCAAAATATCATTTGCCAAATAGTTAATTTTTTTTTTTTTTCCTGGCATAAATTGGAGAGTTGCCCAGGAGTCTTTTAATAATCTTACCTTTTGTTTGCTGAGGGGTTCACTTTGATAAGATTATCCGGGTCTTGGTTCCTAAAAAATATTTGTAAGTTTCAATAGTTGACAAAGTCAACTATAATCAATGATTGTATAGTCTTTAACCTTAATATTGAATCAAATGACTGTTGCTAATATAAGTTTCCATTACTAAAATTCTCCATTTAATCCTGTATAAAAGCATGTGGCTACTATCAATTAATGTCTTCTATAACTATGTAGATATGATCATTTAATTTTAATTTTTCACTTCAACCTTAAAGCAGAATTACTACTAAACTCTCTTATTTTACACATTATATTTGAGCAGTAGCATTAGCATTTAGAATATTTTTGGATGTTGTAATGCACAAGATAAAAAGATAAACTTATTTATCATTTCCAATGTTTCTAGTCAGCTGCCCTATCCCCCCAAAAAAAACCCTGAAATAAATAATAGTTAACTATCTAATAACACAACACAACAAGTATTTGAACACTATGGGCTTTCCAACCATGATCTCATTTAATTTTTCCCAGTAGTTCATGTGGAAGTTAAATATTACACTAAACCATTTTACAGATGAAGAAAATTAGTCTTAAAAGAGATTATTTGTTCAAAACTACACAACTAATAATGGTTCTCTGAATGCAAAAATATCATTACCAAGTGGAAAACGTAGACACGCAATTGAATGCAGGACTTGTGTGAACTACAGTAGAGGTTCAGACACAACTCAGAATAGGCTATGTAATTAAGCAAACTTCACCTTCAGAAACTAAGCCATTTCAGAAGCGGACCAAGGAATACCTGTCTTTCACTGAATACAAATCTATAATGAATATAATACATTCTTATAACATTTGTAATACATGTCATATGGCTTCTGGATTCATTATCTATTCTCATACAATGACATTAAAGTTGCATTCTCACTTTCTGAGCAAAATATAAGGACAATTTTGCACTACATATTAAGATAAAGAATGATCCTTGGCCTAACCATAAAGTGAATAAGACAATATATGCAACAGTGAGGGTTGGGGAAAACAGCAGGCTGCCTTTTGGAAGGTGCCTCAACTAATTTCAGAGTTGATTCTCCTCTCCCACTTAAATGAAATACTATCTACTACCTACTACAGAGCTCAGAAGAACTATGACCTTCAAGCAAAATGCAGCCTGCCACCTGTTTTAATAAATAAAGCTTTTGGAGCATAGAAATGCCCATTCATTTACAACATATTACTGTAGTGCAGTGAATTGCTTTTATATGGCTTGTCTAGCTATGGCATTCTAACTCTCACAAAAATTATTGGCTGGGACCATGCAAATAAGGAGTGTAAAAGTCTTACAGGGATTGGACAACAACTATGCAAATAAGGTGCCTGTGGCCAATCAAGGGGATTGGTCAGTTTTGCTATCTCACTAGGTTTAAAAGAACCTATCCTAAAGAGGGTAAGGGGGACCTCACTACTAACAAGAATAAGCATCTGGAGCAAAGTGCGTCCTTTGGACTGAGGACCTGGGATGCCTACACTGAGTACCTCTAGACCCTCTAGAAAGAGTAAATGCTGAAGACTGAAAGAGGCGGTGGCATGGAGTGAGAGCTGAGTGCCTTTGGGAAGGAGTATTGCTATTAGAGCTAAAAGAGATGTAACACTTGTGCAGGGCAAGAGAGGCCTGAATGTCCCTTGTGCAGAGGTTACATGCCTGCCCTGTGGTCAGCAGAGGCTCAAGTTGGAAACAGGGCAAGAGAGGCTCGCCAGGAGCCAACAATAGAGGCTTAAAAGAGCCCAGAGGCAGAGGCTCAGCAAGGGTCTTCCAGCTGTCGGGAAGGTACAAGGAGGCCCAGCAGCAGAACAGAAACCTTGAGGGCTGTTCAGGTCCCCCATTCCCCCAGTAGCATGGTAGTAGCCAGACGTAAACCCAGCATCTGACATTAAACACAGTGTGCCTGCCCAGTGACAAAGAATGGACCTAGGTAATTTGGAGATGAATAATGGTTGCCTAAGGCATTTGACTGCTAACTAGAAGGCTGGTGGTTCAAATCCACCAGCCACTCCTCAGAAGAAAGGTTGGGCAATCTACTTCCATAGTGATACTGCCTCAGAAACCCAAGGAAAGGTTGCTATGAGTCGGATCCGACTCCATGGCAGTGAGTTTGGTTTGGTTGGGAATGGTTTTCCTTTGGGAATCTGTGGTCATCATTTAATGCTTGCTTTCTGTAAATAATAATGATAGCTTTCACTTTGCCAACTGTGTAAATGCCTTGTATAGCCAGCTAGATCACGGATGAATGTAGGACCCATAGCATGGTTGATGCCAGTGGTGTACATGTTTCATTCCTAGCATTCTAATAGCTGCCTGGAAGTTTGAGGCACAGTCTGTCTGCATACACAGATGGATATATGTATACATTACCTATGACTGCTTATGCAATACACAGAGATTGTTTGGCCCCCAAAGCCTGAAATATATACTGTCTAGCCCATCAAGAAAAAAAAGTTCATTGATCCCTGGTGTAGTATAATAAACTCTATATGGTAATGACACACTGTAAAAGTGGAGAGCATCTCCATATGCAAAATATGATAAGAAATATGTCAGAAAGAAGATATTTACCTTGGCGTTTTTCTATCTAATTCAGGTTCAAATTAATATACCAATTTATGTTTTTAGGTTCATGTTTTTTTATGTTTGTTTGGTTAGTTAACATAATACATCTTAGAGAAAATTCACTCTATACTAAAGATAAATGTCATACTTTGTGTTCATTATTATTTTAAAGATCTGAGTGTAATTTTCAAAAAGTGCCCTCTCAATTGTGGGACTTTTTTGGGTGAGAGAGAATAAGAAAAAAGAATAAATGACAGAGGGAGAAAGAAGAGCTTTTCTTCATTTAAAGACTCTCCCTTAGGGTGCTTAGCTGTATCATTCCACGAGTAAGCCCTACTCATTTTAAGGAAATCTAAAATGTGGAACTCAAGTCCTACAAGGATAAAGAATCATTCCTGTATTTTATGGAATTCTCTCTTCTCCACTAAAGCTCACAACTAGGGAGCCTGGAGCAGGGGCTTGAACCCCAGCTTTCTGATGCAAATCTGTTGATTTGGGCTCCATCCATGGTTATCTCTATGGTGGGCAAATACATTAAATCTAATTTTAAAAGTTGAATAGAAAAAGGGGAGAAAGAGAAGAGTTGGATGAACCTCACCCTTGCTTAGTTCTGTTTGCTTCAGGAACCTCTTTGATGAGATTATCAAGACTTTGGCCCCTTTAAAATATGAAAGAAATGATTAGGTCAGTGGTAGAGTTACATAAAGAGGTTGTAAACATTCATTAAAGCTGAGGAACAATTTTCACCATAAAATATTTTATTAAAAACTATTTATTAAAACAAATAATTGTTAAGATTAAAGTTTTTTGATGGTGACAACATATGTATGTATCTGGATCCAACCATAACTGCATAAAAAAATGAACAGTAGCGAATGCTTTTAGAAAATCCATGATGTGCTCAGTACTAGTCTAAGTGATTTATATGATTTATCTAATTTAATCCTCATGATAATCCCATTACCTAGAAAGTGTTGTTATTCCAATTTCATGGAGGGAAAACTGAGCTACAGAAAGGTTACTTCCCACTTGGCTAATAGTAGGGAGAGCTGTAACTTAAACCTAGGAAATCTACCATCTCATTGGAACTTAATAACTTAACTAATGTTGGAAGTAATTAGAGAGCATCTTGTCCAATTTCCTCATTTTATAGATGAGAAAACTGAAGTCCAAAAGGGAAATGACTAGTCTGTGGTCACATAGTGAGGCGCAGTCCCAGGGCTGGTACCCATCTATGGGCTCTGGTCTACTTCTCTTTCTTTTATACTTATCATCATCTCTTCTGCTTAAAAATAAACAAACACACAACAAAGCAAAAAGGCACTGTTCATCCTGGAAAAATAACTATAAAACCAAAAGAACAAACTCACTGCCGTGGAGTTGGATCCGATTCATAGTGACCCCTCCTAGGGTTTCTGAGGCAGTATCACTAGAAGTAGATTGCCCAACCTTCCTTCCAAGGGTTCAAACCCACCAGCCTTCTGGTTAGCAGTCACATGCTTTAGGTGCCACGCCACCAGAGTTCCCCAAAATAACTATAGACCTAATTAATCAAAGGGTTCCGCTATTATAAACTGAATCTTCATCATTTTCAGGTATGATGTCAAAGTTACATGGTTCTTCTTGAACTATCACTAGGTTCAGCATCACTAAAATGAAATGATTCGATTATACGTTTAAGCATTGAAATGAAAAAAATGGAAGCTCATTAAATCTTACCTTTGGACACTTTTTCCCGTTTCTGGTATCACTTTGATTAGATTATCAAGGTCTTTGGAGCTTTAAACAAAAAAGCAAACAAAAACACAGTAAGCAAAATGTAATTCAGTCAAGGACTATTTTAATTTAAGAAATGTGTGAATTTTACTACTATGTTTTGACAAAAATAAATACCAGTCTTAGTTATCTAGTGATACTGTAACAGAAATACCGCAAATAGGTGGCTTTAACACACAGAATTTATTTTCTCACAGTTTGGGAGGCTAGAAGCCCAAATTCAAGGTGCTGGCTCTAAGGGCTCTCTTCCTCTGTCGGCTCTGGAGGAAGGTCCATGTTTCTTTTGGGCTCCTGCTCCTTGGGTGATCTTCTTGTGGCTTGGTGTCTCTCTTCCCCCATCATTGCTTCTCTAATCTGGTCTTTTTGCATCTTGTACAAGATTGACTCAAGACACACCCTATACTGATCCTGATTTATTAACCTAACAAAGATAACCCATCCCCAAATGGGATAACTCCAGGCATAGACATTAGGATTTACACATACGTATTTAGGAGACACAATTCAATCCATAATATTCCTACTATTTTGCCCCCAAAATTCATGTCCTTCCCACATGCAAAACACATTCATCCCATCACATCATTCCAAAAGTCTTAAATCAACTCCAAGTCCAAAATCTCATTTTCTGAATCATTTAAATAAAATATGGGTGAGACTTTAGGCATATTCTACATTAGGGCAAAATTCCTCTTCATCTGTGAACTTGTGAAATCTAGAATACAAGTTATCTGCTTCCAAAGTACAATAGTATTACAAACGTTAAAGTTTCCCTTATAAATGGGAGAAATTGGAGGGAAAGAAGGGACAATGGCACCAAGCAAGTCCAAAACCAAGCAGAACAATTTGTATTAGCTTTCGAGGCTTGAAAATAGTCCTCTATTCTCTGAGACCCTCTGGGAAATGGCCCAGCCCTCCAGATTCTGGGTTTTGGCCATGCCCTCTGGTTTCTGGGGAGACGCCTTGAGCTAAATTTAGCTCTGGCTTACAGGGCCACTGGGAGGGTAATTCTACTCCTTCAGCTTTGGGCAGTCTCATTCTCCTAGTCCATTTGAGTGGGAAACCCACCCCCTCAACCCCAGTAGGCCCCTTGCTTCCACTCCTTGGGCATGGCAGTTCCACCCTCTCAGCTTTGGGCTGTGGCTCCATCCCTCTGGCACTTGTGAATGGAAGCCTCATACCTCATACTACTCAACCACGTTAGTGAAGATCTAACTTTTTCAAATTTAGGAGGCCATGACTCCACCCTTTGAAACTGGTACAGTTCTGCTTCCCATTCTCCTTCCAATAGTTCTGCTGATCTCTGAACTGCTCCAGAGATGGTCTTTTTCTTTTTTTGGAGGACAACAGTTGTAGCTCCATTGGCCTGTTTTTTGCCTGTAGAATTCCAAATGCATGTGTTCTTTCCTTTCATTCTTTCTCTGAGCTCTTCAATTTAAACTGATGGATGGATTTTCTGCTGTGGGAGTTTGTTAAATCAACCCATCGATCACAGGTTTAATCTTTTTAACAAAAAATTGTGTGGCCATGTCCTCAGTGAAAATTCTAGGAAATATGTCCTTATTTTATACAACAGCATTTTCCAAATCTTTTAAGTTTTATTTTCATGTTGTACAGCACATTTTTAACTCTATCTCCTTCCTGTTGCATTTTACTATAAGCAGCAAGAAGAAACTACATGGCCCCTTTAAGATCTTGCTTAGAAATCTCCTCAGCTAAATATCTAAGTTCATCACTTAGAATTTTTGTCTTCCACCAAACTTTAGAACATAATACAGACAAGTTATTTGCCCCATAGAAAGCACTGTCTTTCTTCCTTTGCCCAATCACATATTCATTTTCTTTCAAAGCCTCACCAGAAGCACATTTAACATCCACATTTCCAGCAACATTCTGTTGCTGGCACTATATGTATTATCTATGATGATAAAGACTTTCTCTATAGCTCTCCCAACCTCCTCCTGAGGCCCCACCAGACTATGGGCAGATATCAGAAAGCTGGGGACATGGAGTCCCTAAATTTTGTCGAATCACTCCTGCCAACAGAACTAACCCTTCTACTCTCATCTGAAGAGATTACTTTATCTTTGTCTGCTAAGTCACCGTCCCCAGTAAAACCACTATCCCTTCCACCCACATCTGACAAAACTAGCCAGAAAAAAATTCAAGCATCTTACACCTCAGGGAAATGTCTAGGGGGCCAGTGGCATGGGGCATGTTGAGATGTTCCTACTAAAGTAAAGGATAAATTGTTGCATCTGGACCATCCTACAACTAAAAAGGAAGCACAACACCAGGTGGCCCTCTTTGGATTTTGGGGGCAAAATATCCCTCATTTGTGTGTGTTATGCTAACCTATTTATCAAGTGACTTAAAAAGTTTCTAGTTTTGGGTAGGTCCCAGAATAATAACAGGCTCTACAATAGGTTCAGGTTGCTGTGCAAGCTGCTCTGCTGGTTGGGCCATATGATCCAGCTGATCCATTGGTGCATGAAGCATCAGTGGCAGAAAGAGATGTTGTTTGGAGGTTGTGGCAGGCCTTTATTGATGAATCACAGCACAGACACTTAGGATTTTGGAGCAAAGCCCTGCCATACTATGCAGATAACTACTCTCCTTTTGAGAAACAGCTTTTGGCTTGTTACTGGGCCTTAGTAGAGACTGAATGCTTAAGCATGGGTCACCAAGTCACCATGCAGTCTGAGCTGCCAATCATGAACTGGGTGTTGTTTGAGCCACAGAATCATAAAGTCAGATGTACACAGCAACACTTTATCATTAAATAGAAGTGGTATATTTGAGATCAGGCTTAATTGGGACCTGAAAACACAAGTAATACCTGAGGAAGTGGTCTAAATGCCCCTACTCTCCACTCCTGTCACATGTTCTTCCCTCTCTCAATCAGGACCTGTGACCTCATGGAGAGGTCCTTATGATCAAATGACTGAGAAAGAGAAAATTTGTGCCTAGTTTACAGATAGTTTTGCACAATATGCAGGCACCACTCAGAAGTGGACAGCAGCATCCCTGTAGCCCCTTTCTGGGACCCCCATGAGGACAGTAGTAAAGGGAAATCCTCTCAGTGGGCAGAACTTTGAGCAGTGCACTTGGTTGTTCATTTTGCTTGGAAAGAGACATAGCTAGATGTGTAACTGTATATTGATTCATGGGTTTGTGGCAAATAGATTGGCTGGGTGGTCAGGGACTTGGAAGGAACATGATTGGATAATTGGTGACAAAGAGATATGAAGAACAGGTACATGGATGGACCTCTCTGACTGAGCCAAAGAAATAAAGATATTTGTGTTTCATGAATGTTCACCAAAGGGGACCTTGGCAGAGTTTTAACAAATGAATAGGATTACACATTCTGTGGAAATCAGTCATCCTCTTTCCCCTGCCATTCCTGTCATTGCCCAATGGGCTCATGAACAAAGTGGCCATAGTGGCAGGGACAGAGGTTATGTACGAGTTCAGCAATATAGGTTTCCTCTCACCAAGGCACTTGGCTTCAGCCACCGCTAAGTGCCCAATCTTCCAGCAGTAGAGACCAACACTGAGTCCCTGATATGGCATCATTCCTTAGGGCAATCAGCCAGTAACATGGTAGCAGGTTGATTACATTGGACTACTTCCATCATGGAAAGGGCAGCATTGTGTTCTTACTGGAACAGTAATATTCTCTGGATATGGATTTGCTTTCCCTGCATACAATGCTTCTGCCAAAACTACCATCTGTTGACTTACAGAATGCCTTATCTATTATCATGGTATCCCACACAGCATCACCTCAGATCAAAGGAATCACTTCACAGTAAATAAAGTATAGCAGTGGACCCAGATTCATGGAGTCCACTGGTCTTACCACATTCCCTATCATCCTGAAGCAGGTGGTTTGATAGAACAAGGGAATGACCTTCTAAAGACACAATTATGGCACTATTAGGTGGCAATACTTTGCAGGGTTGGGGACAATGTTCTCCAGGAGGTGGTTGCTCCCACAGCTAGGATTCCACAGGTCCAGTAATCAGCGATGGAAATGGGAGTGGCACCACTCACTATTACCCTTATGACCCACTCAAAAAATTTTTGCTCCTGTCCCCATGTTCGTGTGCTCCATGAGTCTAGCGGTCTTAGTTTCAATGGGAGGAATGCTCACCAGGAGACACAGTAATGATTTCACTGAACTGGAAGCTAAGAATGGCACTCAGCCACTTTGGGTTCCTCATTCCTCTGGATCAACAAGAAAAGAAGGGAGTTACCATATTGGCTGGTGTGATTAATCCTGATTACCAAGGGGAAATCAGATTGGTATTACATGGAAGGAGAGAAGAGTATGTCTGGAATACAGGAGATCCCTTAGGATATCTGTTAGTGCTACCATGCTCTGTGACTAAAGTCAATGGAAAACTACAGTAACCCAATTCTAACATGACTACTAAAAGGCCCAGATCCTTCAGGAATAAAAGTGTGAGTCACCTCACCAGGCAAAGAACTACAACATGCTGAGGTGCATTCTGAGAGCAAAGGAAATAAGAAATGGGTGGTAGAAGAAGGTAGTTCTAAGTACTAGCTATGACCACATGAAATGAGGACAGTAATTTTTATGAGTATTTCTTCCTTGTTTTGTTGTATGTGTATATGATATATCTATATCTATAATCACACACACATATATATATTATACATATATGGCAAATATTTTTGTTTTCTTCCTTCCCTTATTCCATTACTTATTATAAATTATAATACATAAACAGGGCTAATATGTTTTTCATTGTACATATGCTAGCTGTGTCATGTTAGGCACAAGTATGACTTTATAATTATCTTTATTTAGTGATTATGTATGGTTTAAGGAGATGGCTACAGGTGTCAAATTGACAAGGGTTAGAATGTGATGGTTACTGTTATGTGTTAACTTGGCTAGGCCATGATTCTTAATATTATTTAATTATTCTCCATCTTGTAATCTGATATAAGTGGAGTTTTCTTGGGGATGT